GTAGTCGTAACATCGTCATCGTCACCACCATCACCGTGAGCATCATGCCATTCCTCGCCAATGGACGCCATCATCATCAGCGGCACCACCATCGTCATCACGGTGATGATGCAGGCGGTGGTGAGGATAACAAGAGTGACGCCGATGTCGATACGAATTGTGGTCTCGACGATGACGGCTGCGAGCGCGATGCTGTAGATTGTGGTTTTGGTGAGTGTACGTGTGACTGCGATGAAGATGATTGTGGTGGTGGCAAGGACGATGATGATGATCTTGGCGTTGATGTTGGCAATGGTCGCGGTGGTTCTGCAGTATGATGACGGCGATGACGACGGCAACGACTTGATGCCGATGGGGATGCAGACGGCGCTTGTGGCACCCCTCGTATTCAAAGACTCGGGTGCCGTATTTTGGGGTCTCATAAGAGTCTGTAGGGATCCATCGGGATTCATTCCATTGGGATCCCATAAGGATTCTTCAGGATCCAAGTGGAATGCCTATGGAATTTCGTAGGGATCCCATGAGGGTCTGTAGGGATCCCATAAGGAATCCATGAGTATCTGTAGAGATTCCACAGGAATCCGATGAAGGTCTTTGGGGATCCCACAGGGATCCCATGAGGGTCTGTAGGGATTTCATAGGGATCCCATGAGGGTCTGTAGGGATTCCATAGGGATCCCATGACCGTCTGTAGGGATCCCATAGGGATCCCATGAGGGGTTGTAGGGGTTCCGCAGGGATCCCATGAGGGGTTGTAGGGATTCCACACGGATCGCCTCGCCGGTGCATTCTTGCATCATGGAGGGCGGAGTCGGTGGATGTGCGAAAAAGTGTGTGTTCAGTGTCCGTGTTTTTGTTTATTTGGTTGGTTGGCTTTGTTTTGCTGTTCTGTTGTGCTTTCGGGGGGTGGGGTGGGACGGTACCCGGCAGCTGGTTTCGTCCTCTCTGGGAAGCCGGCCAGCAAGGTCCCGTGGGACCGGGTACCCTGCAGCGGGCTTCACTTGGTTGTTGTTGTGGTGGTGGTGGCGGTGGTGGTTGTAGTTGTTGTTGTGGTTGTTGTTGTGGTTGAACATTATTACTTCTAAAGAATAATTATTGTTGGGGCCCCTGGTGCACGACCCCCCCGCCGCGCCTAGGCCGCAGCCTCATTTTCATCATTTTCGTGAGGAAGTCTCAGGCAAAACGGGGGAGTCCGGATCCGGTTGTGTTGTTACGATCGGTTTTCCCTTGCAAAAAATAAGCTAAAGTGGACATTTCTTGTTCTAACATAACCAAACTTCAAGAATCCCTTGCAAAAAATAAGGTAAAGTGGACATTCGCGCGCGCAAGACGAAATCCTTCCAAAACCTTAGTTTTCGTAGCGATTTTAACATAAAAACATCAAAAAACCAATGGTTTTTCAAAAAAATGTCAAAATTTCATCCCGCGCGCTCTTGCGGATTCGTAGGAAACCCAACACTTTTTAAACATTTCTGTCAAACGGGCTTTTGCGAGCAACTTTTTCGAACTTCTGCAACAACGGTTGCGCACCTGCCAGGGCCATCATCCCTGTCAAATAATACCATGCGGGACACATTCGTTTTTTCTTCGCGCGCGCACGCCGTCGTCGTCGGCCGCGGGGCCCTGAATAGTAGCCACGGTCGTCCGCATGCCACGAAGTGAAGTGTCCGAACGTCATAGGGCGGGAAGCTGGGTGTGGGTGGTGGCGAAGAGTCGTTTGGAAATTTGGTAGAGCTTGAACCGGCCCCCCCACAAAGTGGGGGTATTGCCCGCCTCCTATGAAAACCCTGGCACTGGTGAGAACGGAGTGTCCCCACGTGCTAGTAATTGTGGTTGTTGTTGTTGTTGTTGTTGTCGTCGGTGTCGGTGTCGGCGTAGGTGTTGTCGCTGTCGTTGTCGTTGTCGTTGCTGTTGTTGCTGCCCCATTCGCGGAACCATCCGCGACCCACCCCGCGACTCGCCCGCGACCCACCCTCGACCTTCCCCGCGCCCGCCCCTTCGGTTTTCTCAGCAACTGCGAGGTGTTACATATCAGTTCATCGGACATCAGGGTTCCCCGCCCCTTCCCCCTGTCGCTTCCCCCCCAGGTGCCACCCCGTGCCCTGCGCCTTCCGTAGGCGAGGAGACGGAGGAGGAGGAGGGACGGGGAAGAGGAGCAGGAGCACGAGCAGAAGCAGGCGAAGACTGCACATGTGAATGGGTGCACGGCGCCTCCTGCGAGCGCGAGGCTGCGGATGAGAGGGGAGTTCCTCCCGCAGCCGCCCTGGCTCAGGAATGGATTGCGTATCTCTCATCATATCAGCATGGTGACAGATGTGGGATTGATACCTCTCCAGAGTTAGGTCTCGCCGCGGGGAAGTGGCGGCCGCGGCGTAGCAGCATAGCAGTTGGTTGGACCCCAGCTGTTGGACGCTCGTGGAGTTGGTAAGGTGCCAACCTTAGGCGTCGACCGGGACGATTTCGAGGACTGCATCGTCCCGTTCGGGTCGTGCTGCGGATTGCTCGGCCGGACGGAGGGCCTCGAGAGGGGGCCAGAGACGCCAACGAGGAGATGGAGCTCGACGCTCTCTGAGAGCAAGGGCAGCTGGTTGGTCGAAAACGGTGCCACCTGCTGGCGTGCACGTCGAAGGGTACGGCGCAGAGCATAGTGAAGTTGTGCGCACGTGGGCATGGGTTCGAGGCCGTGCGAAGGATCTGCCACGAGCACAGGCCGCGCTTGAACGATGAGCATGGCCAGATGTTGCAGCTTATTCTCACCCCGCTCTGGTGGCAGGCGCGAGAAGGCACGGAAAGCTTCACGGAGGTTCTCATCGCGTGGGGCGAGATGATCTCGCGCAACGAGCGCGCGACGGGCGAGCTGGTCACGCAGAATATGAAGACGAACGCGATCATGGCCCACGCTCCAGACGAGGTGGAGAAGACGCCGCGGCCAGCCCAGCGCGACGCGCGGAGCGACATTGTCCAGATGAGGGCTTGCATTTTCGAGGCGATCATCGGCCAGAGCGGAGTTCGAGACTGCGATGGCAGCGAGAGGGCCGAACGACGTGGACGTAGACGCGATTTTCAAAGGGGAAGGAGAACAGAAGGACGGGCGCCATATCTGCAGCAAGCCCAATCGCGCGGCGAAGGGTTGCTTTTGGCGAGACAAGCGCCAAAAGAGCAAATATAGCAAGGCTTCTGGATGGGCCAGCGCAGGCAAGGGCCGCGACAAGGACGCAGGCGAAGGAGAGGGCAAACACGCGCTCACGGGAACAATCGACTACCGCCACAAGACTGGACACACATAGGCCGACTGCAGGGCACGAATCGCCGACGAGAACGCCAAAGGCACTGCGGCCATCGATGAGACGGTGGCGAGTAGCCAAAGACGGTGGCCAAGTAGAAGTTCGACGACGAGTACGAGTGCACGCTCTGCTATGACGGCCAGTTCTCCTGCGTGGCCATGCGGGCTGGGACTGGCGAGCAGGGCTGCTTTGCGATGGGCGAGGAGGGCGCCGCGTTCATCGCGCTGACTCTGCCAGCGGCTGCCGCGCATGCCCGAAGTCGTTCGGCGCGGGCTGCCCGTGGCGAAGCGACAGCGGGCCGAGGTTGCTGGGCGCTCAGCGGAACCCGGTCGAGATGGGCACGATCGCCACGGTGCCCATGGCGGTTGGCGACGACAACGACGAGACCGAGCTGCCGAGGGCGAACTTCAGGCTAGGCGAGACGGTCTCGAGGCCGATTCTCTCGATGCTCGAGATTATGGACAAAGGCGCGAGCTTCTGGCCATACTCCAAGACGGGGCCGATGATGCACCCTGGCGGAGACCTCGCGAAAGGGATCCCACCTGCGAGAAGGAAGAACACTTCGGGCTTCAACGCGAAGACCTTCAAGAGCGCGAAGGAGGCGAGCAAGTTCGCGGCCATCGCGAACGCAAACGAGCAGGAGGAGAAAGGGCTCAAGCCGTCGCCGGGAGGCGCGCGCAGTGGCTCAGGGTGCGCAGCCAGCGCCCCAGGGCCGGCGCCAGTGGCGGGAGCTGGAGCAGCGGCGGCAGCTGCGAGCCCAGCCCTCAGTGGCGCGGCAGCAGGGGGGGCGACTGGCCATCCAGCCAGTGCTGCAGGTGACGGCGTGGAGACGGTGCTGCACCCCGACAGCCGGGTCGAAGACATGCGGGCGACGCTTCGTGAGCTCGGGCAGCCGATCTACGGCGGGAAGGAAGAACTCTGGGCGAGGCTGAGCGACTTCGAGCGCACCGCGGGATGCTGAAGGAGCTGGAGAGGCGGCGCGAGGCAGCAGTCGACGGCGCGCTGACCATCGCACCGAGGCAGGTGAAGGGCCCGACCGAGCCGACACCTGAGGAGCGAGCTGCGCGCGTGCCACTGCACCTCGCGAGAGCCGGCTGGCGCGAGGGCCGCGCGAGGAAGCCCCATGAGACGCTGACCTTCGATTGGGAAGACACGGGACAGGCGCTGCTTCTGCGACCTGGAGACCAACGGCAACTGGGCCGAGATAAGGCGGCGAGGAACTTCTTGCGGCGGAGATCTTCGTGACGACGTTGGTAATGGCCGATGCGGGCGCGCTGCTGTTCAACGCGGTCACAGTGTGCGCGAAGACCGCGACAGAGTACTTGGTGCTCATCGAGTGCGGTGCCACCGCGAGCACGCGCGCGACGGCGGACGAGGTGAGTGAGAATCTCAAGCTGGGCCTGAGCCAGGGCAACCTGGGGCAACCTGAAGGACAGCGCGAGCACGGGCCCGATCGAGGCGCCGATCCGGTGGTTCCAGGCGACGACGCGGACCTACAAGTTTGACTTGAAGAAGCGCTATGGGTTGAAGACCACGGCGGGCTTGCCGAACTGGAGCTGGATGACGCGCTGCGCGAGCTGGGCGACATCTGCCTGCAGGCCGAGAGCAGACGGGGGGCGTCGCATCAGGCGGCGCGCGGAGTGACGCACAACGGCGAAATCCCCTTTCGCGCGCGAGGCAGACCGCCGAGGCGGCGCTGAAGCGCGAGGGCGAATCGAGCTCCGCGAAGGGCATATGGGCGGGGAAGCACAAGGAGAGCGACGACCACGCGTTCCTCGCACCTGCGAGCTGGCGTCGAGCCAGGGCGCGCCGGAGGCTGGCGCCATCGCTGAGACACGACGCGAGATCGACGCAGGCGGCGGCGGCGGCGCCTCGGGACCTGAGGGCCGCTAAGCAGTGCGAACTGCAGCCGCGACTGCAACGACCAGTGCAGACGGCGGTCCTGGCGGCAGCGGATCAACGAGCGAGGGCCGGCGCGGCGGGCGAGGCAGGCCAGGCCGAGGCCCCGATGGGCGCCCGAGCAGGGGGCGCAGCCAGCTGCAGGGCCAGCGCCAGCAGCCCCAGCGCCAGCAGCAGCTCCAGCTGCGGCGCCAGCGGCGGCGGCGGTGGCGCCGCCACAGCAGGAGAGCAGGATGGGCGTATACAGCGCCTCGCGGATACCGAGGGGGCAGACGCGGCGCGCTAACGAGGTTCACCCGAGCTCACCCACTTGGCGAGCTAGGCGCGTAGAGGCGATCAGCCTGGACGACCCGATCGACTGCGGGATCCCGGGCTCCATGATCATGTGAGGCTACGCGACGACGAGCGGGCTGGAGCCCGCGGCAGGGCTTAAGGGAACGCGCGAGGCTTTGGAAGTCGCGGCGCACTGAAGCGCGAACAGCGACGCCCCGAGGAGCGAGAGCGGGCACCTGAAGAATACCAGGGCGCGCTGAGAGCCACATATGCGCGATGGGCAGTGCCAGTGGCGATGCGTGGCCCAGGTTCAAGTGGATGGAGCAGCGCGTCGATGTGTTCGCGGCGAGCTCATCGGCGCAAACGAGCACGCTGGTGGACTTCGTCAGAATCAAGCAGGAGGACCCCGGGGCGTTCATCGCGGACTGCGCGAGGACCTACTGCCAGGCGGACCAGACGGAGAGGGTCTGCGTGGAGCTTCCAGCCGATTGCCTCGCCATCTTGGCGGAGCTGGGAAAGCCGACGGGCGTCGTCTGGGAGTTCAATGAGATGTCACCAGGCCGATGCGTGGCAGTCGCAGGCTGGGTAGACAAGGCGGCAGAGACATTGCAAGGAAAAGGATTCGATCGCTGCGAGGCGCAGCCGGAGTTCTACTACCACAGGGAGAATGAGGTCCTCATCGAGGTACGCATGGACGACTTCCACGGCGAGGGGCCCATAGAGGCTGCGCGAGGTGTTTGACCTGAAGGCAACGGACGTGATCAGGCAAGGGCGCCGCTCGCACCTGAAGCGCGACAGGTTGAGGCTGGCGAGCCTCGACGCGATGCCTAGGCCAAGCGTCGGGCGCGTCGAGGGCCTGATCTGCGCGATGGAGACGGAGAAGGCAAAGCCAGCGAAGGCCCCGAGCTTGACGGAGGAAGAACCGAGCTGGAGCCCAGACCTGGGCGAGATGGAGAAGGCAAAGTTTCGGAGTGGCATTGGGATCGCGCTGTATATCTCGCCAGACCGAGCGGACATGCAGCGCGACGCGCAGCTGCTGAGCAGGAACCTATGCCAGCCGGCCGAGTTCGACAGGAAGCGCTTTGTGAAGCTCCTGCGGTGCCTGAATGGGACGAAACAGCGCGCAGCTGAAGAATCCGACCAGGAGCAAGCCTTGGGAAGTCAAGCTGACGATGAACGCCGACACGGACTTCGCTGCTTGCAAGACCACGCGGGAGGCCATGACGCGCGGGATTAGGAAGGTAGACGGCGCGCAGTTTGCGGCTTTCGCGCGGCGGCAAGGAGCGCAGACAACATCATGAGGAGAAGCAGAGTTCTACGGCTCGGCCTCCGTGGCTATGGACGGAATGCTGGTGGAGCACGTTCTCGAGTGGCTTGGCTACGAAGTAGCGCGGGAGCTCAACGTCGACAGCAGTGCAGCGAAGGCGATGATCAATCGCGAAGGCGTCGGCAATGTCAAGCACCTCGACGCGAGAGCGCTGCGGGCCCAGCAGGAGCGGGAAGTTAACGGACTTAGCGTGCGGAAGGAGAGCGGCGACAATAACGTTGCTGACTTGGGCACGAAAGCGCACCCAGCGGCGCGAATCGAGTACCTGAGGGATTTGGCAGACATCGTGGATTGCGTCGAAATGGACAAGAACAAGGAGCTCGAGGCATGCGCCGCTGCGACAAGTTCGAGCTGGGCAAAGCGGAGCTTGCTGGCCGCGCTGTTCGGCCAGGGGGCGACGATCACGACGGGGACTGGCACGTGCAGTGGGGATCTCGAGCGCTACGACGCGATGGCGGCGAGCTCCGAGGCGACGCTGAACACGCATGGCTGGGAGAGCGGCTACTTGACGTACCTCGCAGTGGCGGTAATCATCATCGCACCCGTGCTGGGCATTTGGCGTGGAGTTAATTGCGCTAGCGATTCCGTGCGGAAGAATGATGTCGCTGGCAAAGGTCAGGGCAAGCAGATCCCGAGGAAGGACAGGAAGCAACTCGAGGACAAGCAGAGTCAGGCTCCATGCACCTACAAGTGGAAATGCGCGACTCCCCCCCCTTCGTTCCCTTTTCCGAGAGCAGCCATGGCTGAGCTTGTGGCGACTGGCACGGACGAGAGAGAGAGAGAGAGAGATGGAGATGCGAGTGTGGTTTTGACCGGTTGACGGTCGACGGATGCTGATGCTGATGCGAGAAGGCGCCGCGGGGGAGTGCACACGTGAGCGGGTGTACGGCGCCTCCTGCGAGCGCGAGCTTGCAGATGAGAGGGGAGTTCCGCCGGTAGCCACCTTGACTGGGGGAAGGATTGCGTATCTCTCATCACATCAGCAAAGGAAGAGGAAACGGGAGAAGAGGACGAAGAGGACGACGACGAACACCTGAAGGAACAATGGCCGCATCGAAGCTTGAAATTCCCGGGGGCTGGCTCAGCAGCAGAAGCAAGAGGCGCAGGAGAAGACTGAAGATTTTCAGAAGCCGTCGGCAGGAAGGACGAGGAGGACCCGAGTAAACCCGCGATGCATCAACGACGCTGTCACACGTCCTTACTTCCCAAGTCCTCGCCTCATCAGTCCCCTAAAAAATTATTGTCACTCTGGGATGCGCCCCCTTCCAAGACGAGTGCCGCATGGGCGTGCCATTCAGGCGAGAGCCCATCCATCTTTATAGATCATAGATGTGCGAGTTTCGTTTCGCAACGCAACATCCGTGCTTAATTCGGCCCGATCATCGCTTTGTTGCAGTCAGCAGGACGGGAGAGTAGTAAAAACGACGTTGAACTTGATAGACGGAACAACATGTAATTCACTATCTGGGTGAATCATTCTGGACCTAGGCCCTAGGCACAGGGAGCAAATTGCAATTGGCAAGAATACTGGCCCATAGTGTGCGAAGCTCGCCCGTAGTTGTAGTCACGTGTTGCGCAATCCAGAACACACACACGCACGTCGCATGCGAAAGCAATCATTTCCAGTCTTGCAAGGTGGGCAGACCTTTACAAAATTTGAGGGTGTGTCCAGAAAACCCATTTTGAACAGGAACCACTCTCCATCCCTGTAGCCGTTGCGTGAATGCAGCATGTCTTGGCCATGAGGTTGAATACGAGCTGCACCCCATCCCAGCGGCTGTCGCACATGCTCTGCTCAACTCTTGTGCGCCAGATTTGAGGGGGTCTCAGGCGGCTGCCCAATTCTGACGAGAAGCCGCCCTCCGTCCTGTGGACAGTTCCAATGAAGACTAGAAAGCGCGGCGCGACGGCGAGAACCGCATTCTGAAAACGGCCCGCCCTCCACCCTGGTAGCTGTTGGAAGCGTCACACTTCAGCTCAGAGCCGCTCGTAGCTAGGACGGCTCGGGCAAAATGCCAGACCCTCACAGTTTGGTGGTGCGATGGGGAGGAGTTACATGTAAGGACGAGGGGCACAGGATGAGGGGGAGCATAAGGAGACGCAGCAGCAGGGAAGGAGGACCAGGAGCAGCAGGAGAATAATGAGGAGGAAGCGCAGGTGCAGGATGAGAAGCATGGGGCACATGAGGAGGAGCACCAGCACGAGCACGAGAATGAGAACGGGTCTGGCATACAATGCGCGGACGAACATAATGAACAGGAGGAGACGGAAGACGAGGCGAACGAAGAGGAGGAGGAGGAGGAGGAGGCGGAGTCAGGTCAGGGCACGGGGGCCTTGGGATTAGTTTTTCCTCTCCCCCTGGGATTCCCTTCCGGCTCGGGGCCTCTGCTTGGCCTGTCGTTTGGTCTTCGGTCCGTCAAGGTGGGCCGCCGGAGCACGGTGCAGATCCATACCACCACCTTCGACGAGATGTTCGAGGTTCGACTTGTCTTCCTCCCTCCCCGAGGTTCGAGGGTTCGGGTTCGAGGTTTGGCGTGTTCGGGAGTTTTCGGAGCTTTCCAGGGGTGCCCAGATCGTCCCGAACGGCCCCGGGAGGCCCGAGTTATGACCCGAGCACCACCGACAAGCGGCCGACCTTCATCATGTAGTATGGGGGCAACAGGTCTGAGGGAAACGGGTCCTGGACCCTGGGGCTTTCCCCAGCACGAGATCTTCATCCTGGGTCGTTTTCTGACAGTCCCGGGGCCCAGGAGCCCGAAGACGGCGAAAAGCCTCAGGACCCGTTTCCCTCAGGATCCGTTTGCCCCATGGCGAGGTCTTCCCATTCTTGACTCTCTCAGCGCCGACTGCCTCGGCAAGAGTGGCTCGATGAGAGGCTCGAGCGGTGCGGCACCAGGCGCCAGGTTCTTCTCGAGACGGTTCGGTTGAGAGCGTCGGCGTCGGTGGGTGTCAAGAACTAGTGGGATGAGGGGGCGGACGAGCAGAGGAAGGAGTGGGTCAAGGAGGAGGAGGAGGAGATAGCGGGAGGGATGCTGAGTCAGAAGAGGACAGGGTACCCATACCGCTAGCCTTCCCTCGTTTTCCCCTTTGTGGGCCTCCTGGGAGGCCCTCGTCGCCACCGCTGGATTCGCTTCGAAATCGTGGTCAGAACGCACCCAGGGAGAGGTCTGGGGAGTAGCGGTGTCGGTGCCTTATGGCTTCTCAAAGAGGAGGACGGGGCGAACGACTAGGACAAGGATGAAGACGAGAAGGAGGGTGTTTCGGGGGGAGGTGGGGGGGAGAGGTGGAAGCTCAGCAGCAGCACTAGCAGCAGGAGTAGCAACCACAGCTTGACAATTAGTAGTACTCGTTTAACCACGGAGACAAGTAGTAATAGTAGTCGTCGTAGTCGTAGTCGTAGTCATGCACGTGGTTGTATAGTATTATTAGTAGTAGTCGTAGTAGTAGTAGTAGTAGTAGTAGTAGTAGTAGTAGTAGTAGTAGCAGTAGTAGCAGTAGTAGTAGTAGTAGTAGTAGTAGTAGTAGTAGTAGTAGTAGTAGTAGTAGTAGTAGTACTACTAGTAGTAGTACTAGTAGTAGTCGTGGTAGTCGTAGTAGTCGTAGTAGTCGTAGTAGCAGTAGTAGTAGCACTGTAGAATTGTTAGTACTGTAGTAGTAGTAGTAGTCGTAGTAGTAGTAGTAGTAGTAGTCGTCGTCGTCGTCGTCGTCGTCGTCGTCGTCGTCGTCGTCGTCGTCGTCGTCGTCGTCGTCGTCGTGCGTCGTCGTCGTCGTCGTGGTCGTAGTCGTAGTCGTAGTAGTAGTAGTAGTAGTAGTAGTAGTAGTAGTAGTAGTAGTAGTAGTAGTAGTAGGAGTAGTAGTAGTAGGAGTAGTAGTAGTAGTAGTCGTAGTAGTAGTAGTAGTAGTAGTAGTAGTAGTGGTGGTAGTAGTAGTAGTAGTAGTCGGCGCAGTAGTTAGTCGTATGAGTAGTAGTAGTAGTAGTAGTAGTAGTAGCAGTAGTAGTAGTACTTGTTACAGTAGCAGTAGTAGTCGTAGTATTCTTTGCAGTCGTACTCGTAGTCGTAGTCGTAGTCGCAATCGTATTCATGATTACAGTATTAGTAGTGCTACTAGTACTAGTACTAGTAGCAGTAGTTGTATTAGTAGTCGCAGTAGTAGCAAGAGTCGTAGTAGTAGCAGTTGTAGTTGTAGTAGTAGTAGTAGTAGTAGTAGTAGTAGTAGTAGTAGTAGTATTAATCGTAGTAGTAGAAGTATTAGCAGTAGTACATGTAGTAGTAGTCCTAGTCGTAGTCGCAGTCGTAGTCGTAGTCGCAGTAGTGAAAGTAGTAGTAGTAGTAGTCGTCGTCGTCGTCGTCGTCGTCGTCGTCGTCGTCGTCGTCGTCGTCGCAGTAGTAAGTGTAGTCGTAGTAGTACCAGCAGCAGTAGTTGGAGTAGTAGTAGTAGTTGTAGTAGTAGTAGTAGTAGTAGTAGTAGTCGTCGTAGTCGTAGTCGTAGTCGTAGTCGTAGTCGTAGTTTTTCTTCGCAGTAATAATGGTAATAGTAGTAGTAGTAGTAGTAGTAGTAGAAGTAGTAGGAGTAGTAGTAGTAGTAGTAGTAGTAGTAGTAGTAGTCGCAGTCATAGTTGTAGTAGTAGTAGTAGTAGTAGTAGTAGTAGTAGTAGTAGTAGTAGTAGTCGTCGTACTAGTAGTAGTAGTAGTAGTAGTCGTCGTAGTAGTACTTGCAGTGCTCGTAGAAGTCGTAGTAGTAGCAGTAGTAGAAGTCTTCGTAGTGGTTGTAGTAGTAGAAGTAGTAGGGGTAGTAGTAGTAGTAGTAGTAGTAGTAGTAGTAGTAGTAGTAGTGGTGTAGTAGTGGTAGTAGTAGTAGTAGTAGTAGTAGTAGTAGGAGTAGGAGTAGGAGTAGGAGTAGGAGTAGTAGTCGTAGTAGTCGTAGTAGTAGTAGTAGTAGTAGTAGTAGTAGTAGTAGTAGGAGTAGGAGTAGTAGTAGGAGTAGGAGTAGGAGTAGGAGTAGGAGTAGGAGTAGGAGTAGTAGTAATATAATCTGTCGATCGCGCAAGGGCGTTCGACAGATTTCGACATGCGCGCGCGCGAAGCCCGTTTAATAGCATGTTGTGTAAATCTTGAAAAACCGATGGCTTTCTCACTCAAGAGCTCGCAAGAGCTCGCGCGGAAGCTTTCTTAGCAAATCATTGTTGCGAAACCATGTGTCTTTGTATGTGTTTTGGAAACTCGATTGCGAAATCCTTCCGGCACCGAAGGTTTTCGAAGGATTTCGGCATGCGCGCGCGACGACGCGCGCGTGTGCACTTCGTCCCGTTGTTTGCAAGGGATTCGTGAACAAGTGTTATGCTAGAACAAAAAAAATGTCACCGCATAGTGTTTTTTGTTTTACAAAGGGAACCTCAGGAGGAGGATACCAGTTGGCCTGGGACATTGTGATTTCATATTTATGATGGACATGTGGTCATAACCACCTATGATTTACATACCCGGAAGGGGGATTGATAACGCCGGGGGGGGGGTAGATCCTATTTTGTTTTTACAAAGGAGAATAAAGGATAATCTATGTGGTGCATGCAGCGGCGGCGGACGGCGGCGACGGGTGGCGACGGCGACAACAAGCGCGGCGACCGACAGGCAAGCGCAGAAAGAGCGGCGGCGGACCAGCGACGGTGACAACAAGCCGGCCGGATCGACAGCCAGGCCCAGTTCCATAGAACATACGCAAGAAGCCCCATGTGCAAGCCTTGTTTGGGGAATAGATGGGGCCCCTGCCAATCCCTCCCAGCCCACCGCAGATTTCTGGGTACGAATCATCGAGATGCTGGCTGCTGCTTCCGTAGCCATTTGGGCTCGAGGACTTGGCTCAGCCAGCGCGCAGGCTGCGCATCACAGCGTTGCGGTCTTGAGGAGGAAGATACCGGCCGCCCTCCGAAGGGATGGCTGCAGCGGCCTTCACGCTCGCCCCTGGCGCGCCGGTCGGCGTGCCGGCGCTGCCGCCGCCGGCGAGCGCGGCCACACCGCACGCACCTCGGCCCGGCGCGGATGCGTCGAGCAGCTGGCGGCCGCTGGCCACAGCTGGCACGGCGGCCGCGGCGGTGACGGCCGCCGCCTCGCGGGGGCGCGCCCGCCGGGCGAACCGCCGGGCAGGGACGAGGCGCCATGCGCTGGCTTTTGTGGGCGAGGGCACCACCAGCAAGTCCACGTCGTGGTCTGGGCTGACGCCGGGGAAGGACTACGAACTCTCCATCTTCAGCCAGGAGATCGCCGAGAACACCCGCACGATTCGCTCGCACGACTGGGAGCGGGATCGTTTCGACATCGAGTTCGCGCTCACGAACGGCACCACGTACAACGCGTACACCATCAAGGGCGAGACGGCGACGGCCTTGATAGACGCCTCCCACAAGAAGTTCGAGTCCCTGTTCATGGACTCGCTCGAGTCGCCGGACGGAGGTGATATCGACCTTGCTACCCTGGACTACATCGTGGTGTCTCACACTGAGCCGGACCACTCCGGCCTCATCGAGAACATCTTGAGAAAGGCGGCGGAGAAGGGCAATGACAAGATCACGGTCGTGGGCTCCAAGGTCTGCATTGGCTTCCTCCAGAATCTCATGCACATGGACTTCAAGAACATGATTGTTAAGGACGGCGCCACCATCGACCTGGGCGGCGGCCACGAGCTCGAGTTCCTGGCGACCCCGAACCTGCACTGGCCGGACACCATCTGCACCTATGACCGCAAGACCGAGCTGCTCTACACCTGCGACATCTTCGGCATGCACTACTGCAGCAAGGAGATCACCGACGTGGAGGGCGTGGATGCGCTGAAGCCGCACTACCAGCTGTACTACAACTGCCTCATGAAGCCGAACGCAAAGAGCGCTACCACGGCGATGAAGAAGCTCCCGAAGCTCGCTGGCCCCGTGAGCGCCGTGTGCACGGGCCACGGGCCGATCCTCACCCACCACAAGGACGAGTGGCTCAACATGTACCAGACCTGGTCGGAGGACGCCCTGAAGGTGCTCGGCCCCGCCGTGTGCATCTTCTGGGTGAGCCGCCATGGGGAGTCCGAGCGGCTGTCACAGGCGCTCGCCTTCGGTCTGACCTCGAACGACGTTTCGGTGGAGATGCACGACCTCAACGCCATCGACGCCTTTGAGGTCGTGGAGGCGTGCGGCCGCAACCAGGTCATCGTGGTCTTCGCGCCCCCGATGACTGGCATAGCGGAGGAGAACCTCAGCAGCATCGTGGCCAGTTGCAACGAGAAGAACCACAAGTTCCTCGTCAGCGCCAGTTTCGGTGAGAACGAGGACCCTGTCGACTCCATCGTCTCGCGTTTCGTACAGGTGGGCATCCCGGAGGCAATGCCAGCCCTCCGCCTGTTGGACGGCACCCCCCAGTCGCACCTTGTCATTTACGAGGAGCACGGGCTACTGCTGGCCAAGCAGCTTCTGGAGAAGAAAAAGCAGGCGGCGAAGGACAAACTCAACGAGAAGACCATGAAGGCCTTGGGCAAGATGGGTGGTGGCCGCTACATCATCACGGCCTCCAAGGCCGAGGTCAACTGTGCTGGCGTGGCCACCTGGGTGATGCCCGCGAGCACGGAGCCGCCATCGGTCGCCATGGCCGTCGCCAAGGAGGACGCGCTGCAGACCGTGATGCAGGTGGGAGACACGTTCGTGGTGAACATGCTCGAAGAGGGGAACTATCTGCCGCTGCTGAAGCACTTCCAGCAGTCCTTCGCCCCTGGCGCCGACGTCCTCGAGGGCATCGAGACGCTTCCGGTGGAGGGCGGCTCGGCCTTGAAGGGCGGTTGCGCGTTCCTCACCTGCAAGGTGAGCTCGCGCATGGATGCTAGCGACCACATTATCATCTGCAGCGAGGTGGTAGCGGGAGAGGTGCTCCGCCAGGCCCCGATTGCAGCCAACTACCGCAAGACTGCCGCGTACTACTGAGCAGCCGCCGGCGGAAAGAATGGAGGAGGGAATCGGTTGGTTGAGGAGCAGGTGGAAATTCAAGCATGGTTACGGTCTGGGGTGGTGGAGTGATACGTGGAACCTAGACTTACAATGAGCCAATTTAGCATATGGCTCGAATTCGTATGCATGCGAATGAGCCGAAGACAAGCTCAGCGCGCCGCTTTCGCATGGCATCGTCGGCGCTCGGTAGCGGCCTTTTCGGCTGAACGCTCGCGGGGGAGTATAGCTCTCCATGCATTTGAAGGCGAGTGTAGTTCTCCAGATTCAGTTTTTCGGGCATGTCGCTTGAGTCAGCGACGCCCCTTTCAGATACCTCATTGCAGGAAGCACTGCAGGAGGATCGGTGATAGGCCTGGCTCAGGGGTGCGGGGTGGGCAGTCCACAATCCACAAGTTCGATTCCAAAGTTGTAGGGTGCTGGGGCCAGTCTGGGCGCTGGTGCTCACTGCTCCCAGTCCGCGTGCCGTCATGCTGTCGCGCTGGCATGTTGCACAGACCCGCGTCTCTAGACTCGGCTCGCAATCGCTGAGCTTCGAGGAGAGCGTACCCTCCTCCCCAAAAGGATGCTGGCTGCTGCTCGCAGACTCGCAGACTGTCCTTCCGTTGTTTCCAGGATGTCGACTCGCAGCTCCACGTGTGGGTACCTGACCCTCCCCCCTGCCCACCCTCTTCCCAGACCCCAGGGCCCCTCGGGCTACCCAGGCCCTCTTCACATCCAGCAGCGCGGCTTCTTGCCGCCCGTGTTCGGTCCACCAAACCTTCTGCTCACGTCCTCGCGCCTAGTAGCGCCCCTAGCCATGTCTCCCTGACCGCCGTCGGGCCCCTGGGCGCCCCTTGGCGCTCTGGACCCTGCCGCCTTGGCGCTCCGTGCGCAGCCCGCCGCCGCGTGGGGCCACCGCGGTGCACCAGCGCGCGGCGGCGCCTTCCTTCCTTACCCGTCTTCTCCTCTGGCACCCTCTCTATCCCTCCCCCCCCTCGTGTGGCCCGACAGGTGCAAGAGTGCGGCGGCGGGCGTCGCGAAAGCGAAATCTATACCCGCGGGCACCACGCCTGAGCGGCGTGCACCTTGCTGGTAGGCGCCTCTGCGCCCAAAATGGGCGACTCGGCCAGCAACCACCTCGCCACCCTGGGAGAACCTCCATGTCTCCTGGCCTGACGTCCAGGGCGAAGGCGCCCAACGGAGTCGGGGCGATGGGCCCGGAGCCGAGTGGCAGCCTCGCCCCAGGGCGTGGGCGGAGGCCTTCCCACAGGCGATCCAGGCGTCCACGCGCGGTAGACCCTCAGGGGGCAGTGCCCTCGGCAGTCGGCCGCGAGGAGCTGGGCACTGTCGCTCGTGTGGGCTCCGCAGGAGCCATCGAAGGTGAAAGGCCCGAAACCACCAGAGGCGGTGGCCGGCCGAGAGCCGGCACTGGGCCTGCCGGAGCGTCTTGGCCGACGTGGCCACGCGGAGGCACCGTGCTCGCCCGCGGGGGCATCGTCGGCTCCAGCCGCGAGTCTCGGGGGGCGGCCCGCGTCGTCCCCTGGGTCTCGACCTCGCGAGCCGAAGCAGCACTCGCAGGATGGGGGCCCACCGCGCGCAGCGTGCGAGAGAAGCATCTCACATGCGAGCTCAGAGAGGCTGGCTGACCGAAGCACCCGCTCGTTGGCTTCCTGATTCTCTGCGGATGTCTCGCAGCTCCGAGCCTAGCGTGCAGTCATCCCGCATAGTAAGGATGGGCAACCTTCCCAAGGTTACCCTTGCATCCTTGCCTCCTCGGTCCATCCTTGGTCACTTTTGTTGGCCGCGCCCCGCTCGAAAAGCTTCCAAATGGGCGTCCAAGGCCCTCGCATCCTCATCGCGCATCCTTATGATACGGGCCGACTGTGATGGTCCGCCTGTAAAAAGTAGCGGTCGCGCGCCGCGGGCCACCCCGGCCTCTGCTGTTCGCGGCAGGCACCTCGCGCTCTCGCGCGGGTCACATGATCCCCGCTCCTGGCCACAGGGTGCCTCTGCGGCCGCCTCCTCCACGGGTGCGACGCGGGCGACATCCTAACGCTGGCCGCTTGGAAAGTATACGGTGCGCTAGTCAGACAGTACATCCCAGACGAGAAGAAGCTGGTTGACTCGGAACGTATCCCCTGGCCAATCAAATGGTTGTTCATTCGCAGACACCGCAAACATATCTTTCGCAGTAACACCTTGCCAAACATGGGTACCATCACTCAAGAAATAAACACTTTCGTGAACAAGATGAAGTGGCGTTGGGCTCTGCGGCACAACCACCATGTACCGAGCATCGCTGTTCCTCGAAACAAGCGAACGCCCGCGTGCAATGTGGTATGCGATGCTTCTCTCAATTTCCTCTTGGACCAGTTCCGCAACGGCTTGCACAGGACTGCCCTGGCAGCCCGCAGATCGTTGCAGCACTGCAAACGGGATTGGTCCAACGTATCAGGTTTGGAGAAGCTTGCCCTTCGTTTGTTGGCGGATTGTGAGTTCGCTGCAGTGCCCAATGACAAGAACAGCAGGTTCTCGATGGTCTTACGAGAGGACATGCCCAGGATCACAGATTCAATTCTCAGCTCAAGCGTTTACTTGCGCGGGACTTGTAACGACAGCGTGATCACGGACATCGTGCGCAGGTACCATCGTCTTTGTCGGCTTGCCGGTGCTGCTGCCGAGGACGAGTCCCTCGGCCCGCTGTTGTCAAGAACAACGCGGCGCAGCAACTCGCATGCTGTTTCTGTCTTGCAACTCACAGTGAAGGACCACAAACAGGATGGTGAAGTCACTTGCCGACCCATCCACGCCACGCCGAATTTCATGTTTGCTGGGCTGAGCGCCTGGCTCCGGGCTGTCCTGTCCAAGAAGCTGGACGAGGTCGCGCCGCAGCTGATCAGTGATTCGCACGACCTCAAGGACCGTCTCTTGTGCTTGCACCCCGACATGATTTGGCATTTCTTGAAAATTGGCATCAAGGATTATTACTTGTGCGGTTCTGCCGACGAAATAACAGAGGCTGTCATGTCACTGTGGAGCCCCGCTGATCCTCAGTACAGTTATTTGCGGCATGTCGTAACGTTTTTCCTGGGCGTCCAGATGGTCCGAGACCCCTTCTCTGGAGACGTTTTCCACGTCCTGAAGGGTACCGGTATGGGCCTTCCGCATTCAGGGGAATTGACAGATTCCTGCTTTGCGGCCCTCGTCGAGATTACGATCCTCTCAACAAGTATGCGCAGCAGATATGGCATCAAAGGCTACTTCCGATTCAGGGACGACATCCTCGTGGTGTGTGCTGGGCTGGTTTCGCGTACGTCAAAGCCGCTGTTCGAGCACATGCAGCGCCTCGCCAGGTTCTATCCCTTGAAAGCTGAATGGTTCCGACATGCCGTGCAATTCTTGGAGCTTGAAATAGAAATCGTTGGGGGCATTTTTGTAGTGTCACATCACCTCAAGGATACTGCCCTCATGCCCTCCCTCGGCGCCTCCTCGTCCCATAACCCCTCTGTGCACCTCGCGTGGCCGCGGGCCACGGTTAGCCGAATTGCCCGTCTGTGCTCTACGACAGACGCGCGCCTGCATGCTTTCGACAGTTTCCTGGACAGATTAATTGAGAATTTTGCTCCTGAGGTCACTCTCAGGGTCGCCCGGGACCAAATCCATCTCCTGCGCACGGGCCGTGGCCAAATTCAGAAACGCAGGAGCCCAAAATCTTGGGTTGTCTGCGGTTTTCACCCCAAAATCGTGCAGGCTTTTCAGAGCTTTGTTGGGTCTTTCAACAGGGACAGCTTGCACCGGTCACTTCTCGGACAGTTCGGGTTCCCCAACCCAGTGGGAATCAGCTGGTCAAATTCTGCGCCTAACTTGTCTCAAATTGTGCAGAAGATGACTTACGGCCAGGGAGGTAGGTAGGGGCATGTGGTGGCACGTCATTATTATCGTCGCCGTAGTTCATAGCATTTTTGCTCGTGTAGCTGAGCAGGTCTTAAGGCAGAGTCCCAATACGCAACCATTGGGGCGGGCAAAAAGACAGAGCATACATTTGTGTCTTGATTCTCATTCGCTCTCTCTGTTGGCAGTCGGCCGCGAGGAGCTGGGCACTGTCGCTCGTGTGGGCTCCGCAGGAGCCATCGAAGGTGAAAGGCCCGAAACCACCAGAGGCGGTGGCCGGCCGAGAGCCGGCACTGGGCCTGCCGGAGCGTCTTGGCCGACGTGGCCACGCGGAGGCACCGTGCTCGCCCGCGGGGGCATCGTCGGCTCCAGCCGCGAGTCTCGGGGGGCGGCCCGCGTCGTCCCCTGGGTCTCGACCTCGCGAGCCGAAGCAGCACTCGCAGGATGGGGGCCCACCGCGCGCAGCGTGCGAGAGAAGCATCTCACATGCGAGCTCAGAGAGGCTGGCTGACCGAAGCACCCGCTCGTTGGCTTCCTGATTCTCTGCGGATGTCTCGCAGCTCCGAGCCTAGCGTGCAGTCAACCCGCATAGTAAGGATGGGCAACCTTCCCAAGGTTACCCTTGCATCCTTGCCTCCTCGGTCCATCCTTGGTCACTTTTGTTGGCCGCGCCCCGCTCGAAAAGCTTCCAAATGGGCGTCCAAGGCCCTGGCATCCTCATCGCGCATCCTTATGATACGGGCCGACTGTGATGGTCCGCCTGTAAAAAGTAGCGGTCGCGCGCCGCGGGCCACCCCGGCCTCTGCTGTTCGCGGCAGGCACCTCGCGCTCTCGCGCGGGTCACATGATCCCCGCTCCTGGCCACAGGGTGCCGTCAGCGCGTGGCACCCGCAGCCCTTGGCACTGCGGTGGTAGTTTTTGCCCGGTGAGCTCGCGCACCAGGGATGACGTGTTTTGTTTGTTGTTGATGTTGCTGTTGTTGTTGTTGTTGTTGTTGTTAGTGCTAGTGCTAGTGCTAGTGCTAGTGCTAGTGTTAGTGTTGTTGTTGTTGTTGGTGGTGGTGGTGGTGGTGTTGTTATGGTTGTTGCTGTTGTTGTCTGGTGTTGATGTAGTTGTTGTTGTTGCTGATGCTGTTTTTGTGTTTGTTGTTGTTGTTGTTGTTGCTGTTGTCGTTGTTGTTGTTGTTGCTGTTGCTGTTGTTGTTGTCGTTGTCGTTGTCGTTGTCGTTGTCGTTGTTGATGTTGCTGTTGCTGTTGCTGTTGCTGTTGCTGTTGCTGTTGTTGTTGTTGCTGTTGCTGTTGTTGTTGTTGTTGTTGTTGTTGGTGTTGTTGTTGTTGTTGAATACTCATTTCTAGAGGATGTTTACGATACCGAAGAGAAGCTCCAATTCAAGTCTTTTTAGAGCTATGGGGCTATCGGGCTGTAGGGCGATGGGACTATAGGGCTATGGAACTATAGGGCTGTAGGGCCATTGGGCGATAGGTCTATAGGGCTATAGAGCTGTGAGGGCTATAGGGCGATGAGGCTACAGGGCTATAGGGCTATAGGACTATCGGGGTATAGGGCTATAGGGTTTTGGGGCTATAGGGCTATTGGACTATCGGGGTATAGGGCTATAGAGCTATAGGGCTGTAGGGCTGTAGGGCTATGGGGCTATAAACATATATAGCTATAGGGCTCTAGGGATATAGGGCTCTGGGGCTATAGGGATCTAGGGCTATAGGGCAATATGGCTATAGGGCTATAGTGCTATAGGACTAGAGGGCTATAGGGCTATAGGGCTATGGGGCTATAGGGCTATTGGGTTATGGAGCTATAGGGCTATGGGGCAATTGGGCTATAGGGCTATAGGGCCATAGGGCTATGGGGCTCTAGGGCGATGGGGCTATAGGGCTGTAAGGCTATGGGGCTATAGGGCTATGGGGCTATAGGGCTATTGGGCTATAGGGCTATGGGGCTACAGGGCTATATGGCTATAGGGCAAAAGGGCTATAGGGCTATAAGACATCCAGGCACCCGGACACCCGGGCGGGCCGCGGAAACCGGTGGCACACTTCATTTTACCATATGAGTCCGCTACGACCCCTACAGAGGCAAGCTCTGATTGGGAAAATGCGATCTCCGGAAAAAGGTACCGGGCGCTCTCGCATCGACGCCGGCTACATTTTCTTTGAAAACGCGGCTCCCGCTCGAGCGTTGGCTTGAGTGTAAAAGTGGGCCCTTTGAGGCCCAGCTACGACGACAACGGCTCCCGCTCGATACTTCCTCACAATTTACCCCGAGATACCCTGTCCAGAGAGGCCCCCGAACTCAGGAACGGCGCTCTCGCTCAAGACTTCCTCGCAATTCAGTCAAGTTGGCCTGGGCCCAGCCACGACGACAAGGGCTCCTGCTAGACACTTCCTCACGATTTACTCCGAGAGCCCCCGGCCAGGAAGGCTTCCAAACTCAGGCACGGCGCTCTCGCTCGAGATTTCCTCATGATTCAGTCAAATTGGTGGAGGCCCAACTACGACGACAAGGGCTCCCGTTCGATACTTCCTCAAGATGTACTCGCAGAGGCCCTTGCCAGAGAGGCCCCCGAACTCAAGAGTGGCGCTCTCGCTCGATATTTTCTCATAGTTCAGGCAAGTTGGTGGAGGCCCAGACACGGCGACAAAAGCTCTCGTTCGATTTTCCTCGGGCTGTACCCCGACAGCCCCTGGCTTGGCCAGAGAGGCTCTCGAACTCAAGAACGGCGCTCTCGCTCGAGAGTTCCTCTCACTTCAGTCAGTGGCCGACAAGGAAGATATTTCCCCCCAAAGGGGGTGTGATCGAAGACGAAGTGGGCGGGTATCGAGGGTTGGGGTATACAGAATGCAAAACACGCGTGCCAGTAAGAGCGAACAGTCTTAAAATGCTTGTTGTTGTTGGCGTTGTAGTAGTAGTTGTAGTTGTAGTTGTAGTTGTTGTGATGGTGGTGGTGGTGGTGGTGGTGGTGGTGGTGGTGGTGATGGTGGTGGTGGTGGTGGTGGTGGTGGTGGTGGTAGTGATTGTTGTTGTGGTTGTTGTCGGCGGCCACTTAGATCCGAACAATGGTAAGGCAACGGTGGTACGTAGCGAAGCAGACTGAGGCGCAGACAGGAGCGGGAAGAAAAGGAAGGGTCGAAAGGCAGAGATCGGGGGCCTCGGGATGACGCAAGCTCTTCTCGAGTCAGGCAGTCGGAGCCACATCCACGCCCCGGCCCCTCACCCGCTCGAAGTGCCTGAACGCGGCGTGCATTTGCACCCGGCCGCCAGCATGGTTTTCCTCGAGCCCGGCTCGGACGATTGCTATTCCTTGGCGAGGCAGCACCTTCGAGTTTTATTAGCAGGTCGACCCTACCGAATCAAGGGCACCCTCGTGTCCTGTGTTTGGCAGCCCATGCCTGCTACACTCCTGTGGCAGGGTGACCCTCGGGAGGGTCTTGTGTCCTCTCGCGTGTTCTCTCTCCAATCAAATTCGACTGTACTGTTCTCCAGCTCATCCTTGTTAGGTCTGGTCTGAGCAGACGCCGCCTCGCCTGACTCCCACCATTAGCCTGAGGCCTCAGGATTGCACGCTCAGGCTTTCCTCTCCCCTTTCCCCCCCCCCCTCTGCGGCCGCCCTCCTCCGCTCGCTTCTCGCTCTCTAGTGCGTAAGCTGCCTTGCGCTGACCCCGCCCAGGCGTCCATCACGTCGCGCGACTGTCAGCGCCGCGATATAAAAACAAAAAACATGCGCCTAGGATGTCCAAGCGAATTGTCAGCTACCAGCCTCCTTCAGAGTTGCGCATACAACAATCTTTTTCTGATGCCATGAATGCTTTATGCTTGTGGTTATTCAGAGTACCAGGAACTGGGCCCGTCCCATTCCCCCACAGAGTTCTAACACTTTCTATTCGTTCTGAGGTGAACGCGGGAAGCGCCGAACTCAGACCCGAACCCGAATCACGTGATCAGACTATGTCCAAACTTGGTTGCAGGAGGAGGATGAGGAGGAGGAGGAGGAAGAAGAGGAGGAGGTCTGGCTTTCGGAGTCGAGGGGCTGTGCCTCTCTTGAAGGTGAACGCCACCGTTATGGGCTGCGGCAAGGACACGAAGATTTGGATGAGCGACGTGCTCGAGTCCTTCGATGCCATCGTCTCCAGCATCGCGAGCCTGAACCGCCTCAAGGCCCTCCCCAACCTCCCCCTTTGTCCCCCTCTGTCCCATGCGTTCTCTTCATTTGATTTCGTTATCCTTCTCCTTTTCCTCCGCCTCCCTCTTGTCCCCGTCGTCTCCTCCTCTTCGCCCCCCCCGTCTCAAGGAGGAGATCGCGGTGGTGGCCCTACGCATGTCCAAGCACCCGGAGGCCAGCTCCGCCAACCTATCCTTGTTCAGGCCGTGACCGGGGGGGTGACGAGTAGGAGGAGGAAGACGACACCCAGAGCACACGCCTTGCACTATGTGATTATGACCTATTCGACCCCGCTTAGTGCGAGGTCCAGCGGAGCCATCATAAGGCTGGTCGCTCTCAGGTTGTGCGCCCGTCTGTGCGGTGAGCGACCTGGCAGGACCCCGCCTTCGGCTACGCTCAAGGAGTACGACGCCCGGAGCAGCAGTTGCAGCAGGAACACGAACAGGGAAAACGAGGATGGTGATGATGACGAGGAGCAGACAGATCAGAGCAACTTCATTAACGGTGTTGCAACCCTTTTCTCGCCCCGGCTCTTGCTCCGAGGAGCAGGAGGAGGAAGACGACCGACGGAAGCAACAGCAGCAGGAGCACGAAAAGGGAAACGGATAATGGCGATGACGGGGAGGAGGAGAGAGACCACATGAACCACATGGTGCATTAACGACGATGCAGCCCACCCTCTCGCCTCTGCTGTGGCCCCGAGGAGCGGGAGGATAACGACCGCACGGAGCCACCTGCCACGCGCCCACACGCACCGCCACGCTGCTATGCCACTCGTTCTGTTCTGCCCGCGCCTCCGAAACTCTGGCAGGCACCGCCGCGCCGTCACACCTTTGCGACCCAGTCGCCACTGTTCCATCTACGTTTTGTTTTCGGAGGGAGGAGAAGCAACACCGACACCAACAGGGGGGCCACCTCCAGCGAGGAGGTCCACGATGCCTCCCCGAGCTGGGGGCTGGGGACGTATCGAGCAAGAAGGGCGGACCACACCACCAGGGAGACCCCCTTGCGCCTCGCATCTCATCGCCCTGGTGGTGTTGGCGCCGCCTTTGATTATTTTTGTTTGGTTTCTGGATTTCTCTTTTCGTCTTTCCCCTTATGAGAGTGCTGGGGGACATGGCTAACCCGCCTCTGGGAGGTTCCTTTTTCCCGTCGCCGTTTCTTTCACCGTATCTGTACCTCCTAGTTTGTTCGCCCCTCGCCGCCCCCAGCAGTGGCCGCTGTTGGGGCGGGGGCTGGGGGATGGTTGCGCCGTCTGTTGGCCCCGAAGCCAACGGCAGCAACACACACCCCCAGAGCAGCAGCGGCAGGAACGCGAACATGAAACAGAGGATTGTGACGGTGATGTGGAAGCGGAGAAAAGGCAGAGTAACCCCAAGAGGCAACAATGATGTTGCAACACATTTCCTCCTCCTCCTCCTCCTCCTCTTCCTCCTCCTCCTCCTCCTCTTCCTTTTCCTCCTCCTCCTTCTCATGTTCCTCCTCCTCCTGCTCTTCCCCCTCCCCTTTCCGTCGCCATTTTGGCTCAAGATGCAAGGCTCCGTGGATAGCCAAGCGGATACCGCTAGTCCACGGCCAATTCTCAGTTGTTCACACCCCTGCTGGGGGCGCCTCCCAGCCGCTCCCGCCGCGCCATGGATCATGCGCGCAAGGCGGCTCCTGGAGGCGGGGGGGGCAGGCGCAAGCTACGCGTGCCGCCTCGGAGCTCGCACCGTGGTTTTGCAAGCTGCGCATGAACAGTAAGGGCCAAAGGTTCCGCAACAGCGGGTGGAGCCTCATGCGCGGCGGCTGCAAGCTCCACAGGGGCATCGCGTTCAGGGGGGTCGTCGTCAGCGGCAACGGCCCCTCCGGCCGCAACGGCAACCCCAAGAAGGCGGAGGCGTCGGGCGACTTCGCCCCTTGGCAGTACGGGTCCATGGAGAAGAAGTTCCGCGAGTTGCAGGCCAAGCGCGCCAAGGGGCTGGAGGTGGTCCGCCGTCAGCGCGAGTCACGCGGGGGTGGGGCCGACGTTGCAGCGGCAAAGGCCCCCTTGAGGCCACTCCCCAGGACGACACGGCGGAGGTCTTCGCCCGCATCAAGCGCCTCACGGCCTTCGTCCAGGTGGGGGAGCACATGGGCGACGCCGAGAAGGACAACGTGCAGCTCTGGCAGGCGGAGTTGGACAGCCTCAAGGCGATGCGCCAGGACAACCTCCCCATCGGCAAACGCTACGCGGCCTGCAACCGCGACATCAAGCGCCCGGGGGGTCGTCGCGTCGGCGGAGCAGGACGTCGCCAACGCGAAGGCCGACAAGCGGCTCGAGGTCAAGCCCGCGTTGCAGCAGGAGCAGCAGGCCAAGCGCGACAAGGACCTCGCGGCTGCGCGGGCCCTCCTCGCCGACCTCGGCAAGCAGCGGCTCCAGGGCGGCAAGGAGGCGGAGGTCATCTCTGTCCTCGAGAGTGTCGTCGCGAAGCTGGAGGGCTGCCTCCACGACGAGGGCTTGGGGGGTGCAGAGGCCGTCGAGATCGGCCAGCTGTTCTCCCAGGCCAAGGACCGCCTCCTCCAAAAGGTCTCGGAGGCCAAGATGCTGCGCACCCGCGCCCCGCAGGTCGAACCCCAGGCCCCTCGTCCCGCGGTCGCTCAGGACCTGGTCGCCGCGGTCTGGGAGACAGCGGCCTCCAGCCGCGCCTTCCTCCAGCCCCTCGGCCAGCAGGTCCCCGAGGATGACCAGGGGGCCCGCGCCGCCGCCGAGCGCTTCGCAGAAGCGCGCGCGACGGCCGCCCTCGACGACTCGACGCCCAGCGCGCTAAGTCGGGCGACGACGCCGAGCAGCGCGTCAGGGCCAAGGAGGACATCCAGGCAGCGGGGGGGCAGGCCGGCGGCATGGGGCGCCAGGCGCTGGGGCGCCATGCTGCTCTCAATCAGCTTGTGGATGCCGGGCCGCCCCCTCCTGCAGATGGCCAGCCTGCACCTGGGAGCGGAGGCCCGCAGAATTCCCAACTCCAGCCCGGGCGTGCGCATCCTGCGTGGCAGCGCCACGGAGCGGGGGCCGCAGGTTCGGCGCTTCCTCCAGTCAGACCGCGCGGAGTGCTTCGACGGGCCGGGTTCGTGGAACTCCGCCGCTCAGACACCCGCTCCAACTGCGCGGGCATGGGCGGCGTCGCGGGCGGGGATGCCGCGGCGGTCCGCTCGCACCTCCAGGCCGCCGCCTTCGACCGCCGGCGCGACCCCAAGGGCGCCTCGCTCCGCGGATTGTCCCCCGCGGCCCCCCGCGCGTGACAGCGCGGTGGCCGCCGCGTACCTGCGCCCCGCGCTGAGCTTCGCCGAACGCATCAAGGCCGCCCTCGTCGCCCTCGGGGCGCCTTTGGCGGCGCAGCCTCGGCAGATGAGTGCATCGCAGCGCGTCGGCAGACTCGGCGGCGAGCCCGACCTGCGCAACGTCACGGTCAATTGCGACAAGGGCCATGGGCGCTTGCTGGACTTCGGCATTGCCGAGGAGGGCTTCGGGCACTTGCTCGAGCTGAAGGCCGACTTGCAGGTCCCATGGGCCACGCATTGCGGCTTCCGCCCGCGCTCAGGGGCGCCCGCATGCGGCGGCGGCACTAGGCCCTGGGCGCCCCGCGCAGCCCCCCAATTGCCCGGCCGCGCCCTGGCGGCGGCCGCGCCTGCTCCTAGACCTCGACGGGCCCCCGCTGGCGACGGGGTGGCTCGTCGGAGCGGGGGCTCGGCGGCGCTCGAGGTCCCGCCCCCTGGCGGCGGGGCCCCTACTGACCTCGACGGCGAGTGGGGCCCCTTCGACGACCTCTGCGGCGTGCCCGGCGACGCCCTGGTCGAGCGCTACCGCGACGCCCGCGCCGAGGGACTCCGCGGCGAGGTCGCGAGGTATCTATTCTTACGTCGGGCATGTCCCTCTACAGGACGGATATTGAAACATTGCCCCAGTGCGACCCTGCCTAGAAGTTGGAGCCGTTAGGAAAGCAGCATTAGTTGTTATGCGTTGCTATGCTATGTCATGGTATGCTGCGTTATGCTTTGATATGCTATACTATGCTGCGCTAGTGATATGATATGTTAAGCTGTGATATGCTATGTCATGCTGCGCTGTGCGATGCTAAGCAATGCTATGCTATGCTATGCTAAGGTGCGCTATGGTATGATATGATATGATATGCCATGCTATGCGATGCTATGCTATGCTGCGCTATGGTATGCTATGCTATGATTGGCTACATTATGCTATGCAATGCTATGCTAATGCAGCGCTGCGCTATGCTAAACTAAGTTAAGCTGAGCTAAGCTAACCCTCTAGGCAGAGCCTAGGTAGGGAATTACACCCAGTCTATGCTGTACCATGCTATGTTATGCTAACTATGCTATGTCATGCTGCGCTGTGCTAAGCTATGCTATGCTATGGTATGCTAAATTGCGCTATGCTATGCTATGATATGCTGCGCTATGCTATGCTATGTTGGGCTATGCTATGCTATGCTATGCTGCGCTATGCTATGCTACGCTATGCTATGCTGTGCTATGCTGTGCTAAAACTCAGCGAAGGTAAGATGAAGGTAAGCTAAGCTAAGATAAACCTGAGCTAAGATGAAACTATGCTATGCTGCTATGCTGCGCTATGCTATGATGTGCTCTGCTATGCTACAGCTCAGCGAAGATAAGATGATGATGATGATGATGATGATGATGATGATGATGATGATGATGATGATGATGATGATGATGATGATGGTGGTGGTGGTGGTGGTGGTGGTGGTGGTGGTGGATGATGATGATGATGATGATGATGATGATGATGATGACAAAGGTAAAGACCGGGGCGGGTAAAGCAAACCCCGAGTCCGGGCCGGGTCCGGGCCGGGACGCCGGGTCCGGGCCGGGTCCAGGCCAGGTCCGGGTCTGGGCCGGGTCCCGGCCGGGCCGGGTGCGGGTCCGGGCCGGGTCCGGGCCGGGTCCGGGCCGGGTCCAGGCCGGGTCCGGGTTTGGGCCGGGTCCGGGCCGGGTCTGGGCCGGGTCCGGGCCGGGTCCGGGCCGGGTCCGGGCCGGGTCCGGGCCGGGTCCGGGTCCGGGCCGGGTCTGGGCCGGGTCCGGGCCGGGTCCGGGCCGGGTCAGGGCCGGGTCCAGGCCGGGTCCGGGCCAGGTCTGGGTCTGGGCCGGGTCCGGGTCCGGGCCGAGCCTGCCCTAGAAGACAAGACATCGTAACCAAATCACGCGCCCAAAGTATCGTAATTTACCATGGTTTGTTGCGTGCACGTGCGTAACCAAATCGGCTTCTTGTTGAGCCAAGCTCATTGTTTTGATTTGGTTGCGCGCAATTTGATTGCGAAGTGTGATTTGGTTTTGATTTGGTTATGAAAATATAAAATCGATTTGGTCACGCTATATCGAATTTGGTTACGATTTGGTTACGTTTCCATATGGTTACGATTTGGTTGCGATTTGGCTAAGCGGGGTCCGTCGTGGCCCATGGCTTGACCAGCCCATGGCCCATCCCTGGTGGAGCCTATCCCTGGTGGACCTGTCCGTACATACACCGTGTTACATCGTGATTTCCTCTTTCCTCCCTCCGAACCTCTCCGATGTCTCGCCGCCCCTACCCCGTGCCAGAGCCCTCTCGTCAAACATTGATCCGAGCTTGTCCCCACAGGTCTAGCACCCACCCAAACAGAGCCCTCCACCATATCCTATGCCTCTTCCGTGCAGACCCCCCGCGTAAGTCGCCTCTGTGAAATCCACACTCCTCATATTCTTCCTTCTCCCCCCTAGCACCGCCAAGTCTCAATCATGTATCCCCGCACCTAGTCCTTCTTCAGAGCCTCCCTCTCCAAGCTGCCTCCTCCCCTCCAAGCCCCCTCCTGCCGTGCCATTCCTGTGATACTTCCTGCAAGCCTCATTAGCGCCCCCGTCTGTTTCGGCCTCCCTCAAATTCTCCTTCCAAACCTCCTCCCTCTGATCTTCAAACCCCGCGTCGAACCATCAATGCGTCAATATTACTCCTGAGCCCTCGTGCTCTCACCGTGCTTCCGTCCTCCTCCTCCTCCTCCTCCTATTCCTCCTCATCCTGCTCTACCAGCTTGGCAGACTCCCCCCTGCTCCGCCCGCCCCCGTCTTCAGCCCCATCGGCAATGTTGAACATGGTCGTTTCGAACTACTTACGGTTTGGTTACGATTTGGTTACGATTTGGATATGATTTGGTTACGATGTATGCAATTTGGTTATGATTTGGTTACGAAAATTGAAATTCTGGTTACGATTTGGTTATGCGAACATCTTCCTGGGAAGATTTTGGTTACGGGGGTGTTGAATGCATTTTGATGGCTCAAGTGTGTGAGGGGTCGACCGTAACCAAATTCTTTGCGTTTTGGTTACGCGCAACAGTTTCGAGCGTAACCATATGATTTGGTTACGTACACTAGGGTGGGCACCGGGCCCAGGCCGGGTCCGGGCCGCCATGATGTCGCTCAAAAGCCCCCACACATTCTCGAAGAAGCACCCTGGAAGCTTCAAAACGGTTCCCGCGAGGCCCCCGCGGAAACCTCAAGACACCCGAACCAGCATCCAACAAGCCTTTGACCCACATCCCAAACATGGTGGCGGGATGGACCGAAGGCCACTGGATCTGCCGCCCCTTGTTGATTTGTCACAGCGGTGCCTGCATAAACCGGATGATAATTACTGATTTTGGCCTCTTCGGGCCTGCCCGGAGTACCTTTTCAAGGCTTCTTGGGCCGTCTTGGAGGCATCTTGGAAGCCTTTTGGGCCGTCTTCGGACATCTTGAGGCCCTCTTGGGCCGGCCTGGTGGTTGATGGTGGTTGTTTTGCTGACTTGGAGGAATCCTGCACCCTCCCGGGCCGTCTGGAAAGCCATCTTGGACCATCCACGGCCCGAGAACCGACCCGTATGTTGAGGGCGGTTTTTCGAGAGGCCAGCGCGCTCGGCGAAGCCCCAAGGGGATTTTCCTTTGGAGAAGAACCAAAACCACGGCTTCAGACGTATAGCACGCCAGGATGTTGGCATTCACTTCTATCGGCTTTCCGACGGCCTAAAACTGCCCAACCGTCCAAATCGTCTCAAAATCGGCCAAGAGGCCTCCAAGATAGCCCCAGAACGGCACAAGAGGCCCCCAAGACGGCCCCTTAAGAGCTTCAAGACGGTTTCCACGACGCCCGAATTGCGCCTCCGAGACGGCCCTGATGCATCCAAAGGGGGGCCCAAGTCGGTGCAGAGATGGCCCCAAGACGGCTCCCGACGGCGTCAGACGGGCCACGAGCGCGGTAAGTCGGCCACAAACGCCCCCACGAAAACCGCAAAGGCCCCCGGGAGGCCCCCCAAAGGCCCCCACGAGGCCTCCAAGAGGCCCCCAAGAAGCTCCCAGGAGGCCCCACGAGTGCCCCAAGAGGCTCCCAAGATGCCGCCTCCTCCTCCTTCTCCTCCTCCTCCTCCTCCTCCTCCTCCTCCCCCTCCTCCTCCTCCTACTCCTCATCCTCCTCTTTCGGCATCCCCTCGAAAGCGTTTTTCCATATTTTCGCGTGGCAGAGTGCTCAGGTGGGACAACAGCTGGTGGACCACTGCTTTCAATCCCGAAAGCTTGATAGATCCCGCGGCCCACCACAGATTTGCTCACGAATTTACCTTTTCTCTGGGACGCAAAAAAACAATCGGACAAGGTCTGATTATTTGTATGTGGTCACGTGGCTTCCAGGAGCTCCACCATGGATGGCGCTTCATCAACATCATCGTCATCACCATCATCATCAGCATCATCATCATCATCGTCATTAGCAGCGTCACCACCATCATTACTATCATCACCATCATCGTCATCATCAGATTCCTTTCTCTCCTATCCTCCCTTTCATCCTCCCCCCAGTGTTCCCCCAAGAATATCCACAACGGCTGGGGGGACGCGTAATCCGATAGCGTTCTCCCCAGAATTTCCACAGCGACTGGGGGGGACACATTATCCGATAGCTTGGCCAAGCTAGGGTCCAACGTTTGGCCACAGAGGCGCTCCCCAACAAGCAGGGGGGCGGCGGTGGTTGGCTGTGTGCGTCTTCGATGATGATGTTGATGATGCTATGATGCTATCGTGTGGCGGTGACGATTGGGAAAGGCGAAGCCGCTCCCGCTTCGGACATCGAAGGGCAGCGTGTCCATGCGATCGCTGGCAAAGAATATAAGAGACGATAAGATCGAATGGATGGGCGCGCCTGTGTTTTCTCCAAAGTCCGCGTGGAATGAATCAAAACCAATGCCGCAACCATGTGTGCAGCGGGCGGCACCGAAGCGGAAACGCCACCATGTTCGCGCGCCGTGCCGACATCAGGCGGCGTTCTTCAAGATGTCCCCCAGAAGGGAGGCCTTGCTCATGAAGTTTGCCAAGTCGAAGTCCGACGACGGCACCCGAACATCATTTGCATCCTTCATCTTCTTTGTGCCTTTTGGCGTGAGGCCCAAGCGTGATTGGAGCTCCTGGTAAACAGCGTCTTTGCGCTCGGCAAGCACCTGGTGCATTTGCACCGCGGACCCTCCGTGTTGGAGGGTTCCGAAGCCAGCGGCGTCGGCGAACCGAATCATCAGGCGTATGGAACTCTCGATGACCTCTGGGGTGGCCCCAGTGGACGAGGACTTGCTGTTGGCAGCCGTGTACGGGTTCTGAGCGCTGCTCAGGATAGACACCAGGATCCTCTTCTTGAGCCCAGGCTCCTCCTCGAAACTGTCCTCCGCCAGCGGGGCCTCAGCGCGCATCCCTTTGCGAGAGCCCCCAGCTCCTGCTGCTGCCTCGTCTGCGGCCGGGAGCGCGGCTTGCGTGAGCCCCGACGCTGTCGCGGCCGAGGCGCCCAGCCGGCTCGGCGGGCCCACGGGCGGAGGGGCGCCCACCTGCGACGCCGGCGCGCTCTGGCCGCGCACCTCGGCGACGAGAGGGGCCTCCAGAGCGCGGAGCTGGTCGAGATCCACCGGCTTGCCGTCGAGCATGTCCTTCAAGCCTTGGCAGATCTGATCGGCCACGCCTTGGTCCCCCTCCTCGCGCGCGCCCGCAGCGCCCTCGGGCACCACCTCGCGCAGGTCGCGGAGGACGACGCTGGGGTCCCACTTCATCATACGGTTGGCGGTTCTCACGAAGCTCTCGCTGTCGGCCGCGCACGCAGCCGCAGTGACGCGACCGGCTACGACGAGGAGGAAGCCCATGTGCGTCAGAATGACGTAATCCAGCTGCAGAGCCCCGATGTCGGCGTCGGTGGTGAAGGGGTTCTGCGCGAAAGCTTTGACGTTCCAATTGTTGGCGATGCGCTGCAAGGTCAGCATGGGGTTCACCTTAGACACGACATCATGTCCTACGAGCCTTTCCGCAGACGCGAGGGTGGGGGGCGGCGTGGATGCGAAACGCGCGCGGGCCTCCATGAAGTCTTTGGTTACCTCCTTGGCGCGCGCCGTCATTTGGAAGTTCTTGGCAAACCAGTCCCCCAACGCCACGGCGGCGTCAACTGATGGCCGCGTCACTTCGGGGGGAATGTGGGACGGGTCCAAGTCGTCCAAGAGGGCATCGATGTTCGCGTGGGCATGCTTTCCCAAACATTCCACAATCTCCTCCCCAGTCATCTCCTGTACCTGGTTATCACTCTTGCCGGCCTTCCCCAGGAGGAATCCCACCACTTTCTCCCCCACGTCGATCAGCGGGATGAACTGGGTCGTCCGCGCCATGTCCTTCCGGACGGCAGAATATCCGCTGTCCTCGTTTTCCCCCTTGGGCGCCTGGGCCTTCAGCCGATGACAAAGGTAAAGGCCTTCAGCTGATGGCGGACCCCGCCATCAGATGAAAGGTAAGCTAAGATAAACCTGAGTTAAGATGAAGCTAAGCTAAGCTAAGATGAAATAAGCTAAGCTAAGATGAGATAAGCAACGCTAAGCTAAAGGGGCGCAGCTGGGGGAACCGCGGGGCGGATACTGGGGGAACCGCCCAGGGCGGCGTGCACTGCCCGGCCCCTTTAAGAAAGAGAGTAAGAACCCTTTGGCAGAGCCTAGGTAGGGAATGGAAGAGAAAATAATAGTGTGGCGATTTGTCATGCCATGCTCAAGATATTTTTAAAACCGCATGGGCATCGCTAGCTGGGTATTGGCTGGGCGAGCGCACGACGCACGCGGTTGGAAAACGCGATGCGCCGCGAGTCGCCGCTGTTTCGACGCACTAGGTGGCGGCAGCGAGCGATATCGCGTTTTAGCAGAGGCGTGCGTCTATGGCGACGTGGTCTGTGCAACGTGCGCGGCGAGGGTCGACCGCGCGCTACCGTCGTGGACTGGGTGGCGCGGCGTCGCGGTTAGATTCGCGCGCGGCGCGAGCAATTCGACGAGCGCCCTCTGGGCAGCCGAAAGTGGCCCTGCAGATTCGGACCCCTTTTGCCCATTCAGTCCTGTTGCCCGCGTGCGCAGAATCCGCCCGATCAGTGTCAAGATCTCGTTGCAATAGTCCAGTCCCCCCCACTTTGCCCCCTCGCTCCCGCGGGCCGCCCTGGTGCATCCCCCCCACCCGAGTCTCTTCCAGTCATGGTGGCGCGCATGGGCCGGCGCCCCCCGCGTTCGGCCATTGTTTTTTCCCCAGCCATCCTGTGGTGTTGGGTCCTCGTTTTGAAGAGACGGTGGCCCGCGTCTTCTCTTCTCCTCCTCCCGCCCTCCTCCTCCTCCTCCTCCCCTCTCCTCCCTGCGTTTCACCCACCCAGTACAGCGTTTCGTGGCCCCATAGGGAGCTCCACCGAAGGCTCCAGTGGCAGCGTTCGCATGTGGGCCCCGCCCCATTTTGGCGCACCCCTCACGAGGATCGCGGCCCCATAGGGAGCTCCACCGAAGGCCCCAGTGGCAGCGTTCGCATGTGGGCCCCGCCCCATTTTGGCGCACCCCTCACGAGGATCGAGGCCCCATAGGGAGCTCCACCGAAGGCTCCAGCGGCAGCGTTCGCATGTGGGCCCCGCCCCATTTCGGCACACCCCTCACGAGGATCGTGGCCCCATAGGGAGCTCCACCGAAGGCGCCAGTGGCTGCGTTCGCATGTGGGCCCCGCCCCATTTTGGCGCATCCCTCACGACGATCGTGGCCCCATAGGGAGCTCCACCGAAGGCTCCAGTGGCAGCGTTCGCATGGCGGCCCCGGGACATTTCGGCGCACCCCTCACGAGGACCGAGGATCGTGGCCCCATAGGGAGCTCCACCGATGGCTCCAGTGGCAGCGTTCGCATGTGGGCCCCGCCCCATTTCGGCACACCCTTCACGAGGATCGTGGCCCCAGAGGGGGCTTCACCGAAGGCCCCAGCGGCTGCGTTCGCACGTGGGCCCCGCCCCATTTTGGCGCACCCCTCACGAGGAGCGTGGCCTCATAGGGAGCTCCACCGAAGGCCCCAGTGGCAGCTTTCCCATGGCGGCCCCGGGCCATTTCGGCGCACCCCTCACGAGGATCGTGGCCCCATAGGGAGCTCCACCGAAGGCGCCAGTGGCAGCGTTCGCATGGCGGCCCCGGGCCATTTCGGCACACCCCTCACGAGGATCGTGGCCCCATAGGGAGCTCCACTGAAGGCTCCAGCGGCAGCGTTCGCATGGCGGCCCCGGGCCATTTCGGCGCACCCATCACGAGGATCGTGGCGCAATAGGGAGCTCCACCGAAGGCCCCAGTGGCAGCGTTCGCATGTGGGCCCCGCCCCATTTCGGCACACCCCTCACGAGGATCGTGGCCCCATAAGGGAACTCCACCGAAGGCCCCAGTGGCAGCGTTCGCATGGCGGCCCCGGGCCGTTTCGGCACACCCCTCGCGAGGATCGTGGCCCCATAGGGAGCTCCACCGAAGGCGCCCACTGGCAGGGTTCGCACGGCGGCCTCGGGCCATCTCGGCACACCCCTCACGAGGATCGTGGCCCCATAGGGAGCTCCACCGAAGGCCCCCAGTGGCAGTGTTCGCATGGCGGCCTCGGGCCATTCCGGCACACCCCTCATGAGGGTCGCGGCCCCATAGGAGCTCCACTGAAGGCGCCAATGGCAGTCTCCCCCATGGCTCTCAGAACCCTTTCCTGCTTCTGGTCTTCGTTCAGGGGGGCGCCGTCGTCGTGGTCGTCGGCGCCCGCGAAGACGGCCACAAACGTGCCCCTGAGCATGTCGGGCCCCGGCGGGAAGCCGTGGCCGCGTAGGGGGCGCGGGCGAAAATGGCATTCACACTTGCTGTATCCAATTGCGCATGGCTGGGTCCTTCGCCAGGCGAATTTTGGCAATCGCGCGGGGTAGATTGCGCGAGGGGCTATCCTGACCGGAGGAAGCGTGGCGTTTTCGATGCCGCCCTCGAGTAGATATGAATGGAGTAGGAGCTAAGCGTGGACTGGAGATTGTCCGCGAGTCAGGTTGATTGCAAAAGGTCGCGGGATAGGGTTGCAGCTGGTTCCGAGTAGGGCAGAATTGGGGTCGGCGTAAAAAATCCAACATAAACAATCACCAGTTCTGATATAAAAGAGGCGGTTTGCATGTGCCGTTGTAGTGGGGTAGAGCAGGTCAGGATACAATTGGGCGTGCGATGGGGCAAAGTACGATTGGGGCTACATGTGCACATGTTCGTATGAACTTCCAAACGCAGCCAAATTAATATTTGTCTATTGGATCGGCAAGGTGGTCGCGTGGATCGCGCGGAGCCGAGTGTAGGGCGCGTTGAACCAGGGTGGGCGAATATGCCTGCTCGCACGCGCGTGCGCGTCTATATCCACATATTCACACGCGCAGATCGGTGGGCCCAGTGCGCGCGTAGCGATGCGCGGCCGGTTGCCTGCGGCGCGCCCCAGTCGTCGCCGGCGCCGCCGGGGCGTCCAGAGCGCAGACAGGCACCGTCGCCAGCGCAGCAGTAGCACCTCGGATGCCCAGGCCGAGTGTCCGACTTTTCCGCGGGTTAACAAAATATTCCAGCGCGGGATGTCGCGGACTAGCCGACCGCGCAACATGCCCCACTTGTGGATTTCAACCACAATGCGCGCGCAACATACTCCAACAGCACATTGCGCAGACTGCAAATACTTAGAAAATGCCCCCCGCAGATTCCCAATTTTAAACATACTTACAAGACCACCCATCGGGTGATAAGGAGGTCGGTGGGGGGGGGTCAACGTCTGACCCAACCGATCGAACGATCGGTCTCGTTCAACGGGGCACCGCGGGACACCGCGGGACACTTGTCGATCTCACTATCGATCTCACAGTCGGTCTCACTATCGATCTCCCGATCCATCTCACTCAACGGGACGCCATAGGACACCGCGGGACACCTCGGGACACCACGTCGATCTCACGATCGATCTCGCTCAACGGGACACCACGGGACACCGCGGAACACTTGTTGATCTCATTATTGATCTCATTATCGGTCTCACTTTTTGGGGCGCCACGGGACACCTCGGGGCACCGCGTCGATCTCAGTATCGATCTCACGATCGGTCTCACTATCGACCTCACTCAACAGGACGCCGCGGGACACCACGTGACACCTGTCGATCTCACTATTGATCTCACTATCGGTTCCATTTTTTGGACACCGCGGGACACCGCGGGACGCCTCGGGGCACCGCGTCGACCTCAGTATCGATCTCACTATCGATCTCGGCATCGATCTCACTCAACGGGACACCGCGGGACACTGCGGGGCACCACGGGACACCGCGAGACACCGCGGGACACCGCGAGCCACCGCCGGCCGGGCGGGCGGGGGATAATCATGTGTCTTGACTTCCCCCTAGCAACGGCGGACGCCACGGGGAACCACGGGGCGCCACGGGGCGCCGCGGGGCACCGCGGGCCCGCCGGACGGGAGGGCGGGTGAGAACCATTCGTCCTGACTTCGCCTTAGCAACGGCGGGTTCATTCCTCTCGCGTGCCCGCGCAGCTTCGCCTCGCCCGCGCGCGCGACACGAACGAAACGAAACGATTTCCCGGTTGGGGGTCTCCGTTCACCCGCCAACCTCCGATTCCACAAATACCCCCCGATTGTTGCACATTCAAACAAAATTTTCAAAATATTCAAAACTGACCCCAAAATCGTCCAAAGACACTCCAGCGCAATTTGCGACATTCCAGAAATCCACACAAATACTCCAGCGCCATCTGCGAAATGTCAGAATACAGGAATGATGTTCCAGTGCCATCTGCGAAATTTCAAAATACTCAAAGTATGCATCACTGCCATGTGCGAATTTTTGGGATACTCCAAAGAGGCGCCAGTGCAAGTTGCGTTTTTTTTGAGAAAACTGCAAAAACATGCCCTTGCGATTTGCGGCATTTCAAGATGCTCCAGATATGCCCCCACGGCGACCTCTAAGGTTTCAAAATGCCGCGGGGCACGCTCACCGACCATTCGCGAAATATCGAACACCCCAGGACGCAGCGCGTTACCGTCTTCGACAGCTCCAAGTATTCCAGGAGATGCCACCGCGCGTTTTCCGGAAAACATTGCCTTGGGGTGGGCCCCGCGGCCTTACCTCGAGAACGCGAAAACGTTGCAGTAATGCCCCCTCGTTTCCCCCCTTCGCCCGACATCGCGCCGCTGCGGCACGTGATGTAGTGGGCTCGCCAGCGGGTCAGATGTCCTGCGTCAGGGCTGCCAAACGCGCGACGCGCATTGCTGATGCGGTGCCCGCGTGGGCTGAACAGCGTACCGCTATGTTGCCGAGCGCGTGTCGTTCCGCGCCACAG